TAATGCTGGTGGTGGGGGTGGCAGCTGTGGCCTAATAATTTTCTTAAAAAACATCACGATCACAGTACTCCAAATCCATGTAAATTACTAACACTAGCCAGAATGGTGAAAGGTTACTATCACTAACCATTACATTTATGAGTCTCATTGCCAATCCAATCAGAAAAAAGAAAATGTATTGAGTCTATTGAGAGATGAATTGAGAAATTAGCCCAAAATGGTAACCATAGATTCAGTATGTGGGGAGGCAGTAATAAATATCAACCCTTTTTTGTTGACTCCTAGTACTCTTGGAATGAGGCCTAACATGTCTAGTGAATTAAAAACATTGACAATTTGTCACCCATCAGGCCTGCTTCAATTATTCCACAGGCAACAACAGCCTTAATGGAGAATTGTTGTGTTGTGTTGGGTTGTAACCATAGTTCCAGTTCTCCTTTTTCCTTTTTGGGAGACAGGAAATTCAAGTTTTGTTTAGCCATGCCCATGGTGGTGGTCGCCGGTCAGGGGTGGTTGAGGCTGAGCCCAACAGTTCCGGGATAAGGCCGAAAGGTCAAGCTAGGAAGGCCCAAAAGTAAAACGCTAATTCGCGGTAGGCCCGTAGCCAAAGGCCGAAAAACCAATCCAACATTTTTGTTTATCAGTGAGATTTCCCTTCTTCTTTTTTTTTTTTTTCTAAAAAAACTATTTTCAATTTAGGGCCTGTTTGGATTTTACATAAATACAGTACAAAAGGAACATGTTTATAATTTTTGTTTATAATTTTGATGTATTTTTAGTAGAAAAAATACTGGAGCAATAAAGTTGAAGTTCAAGCTTAGCTCATTAAGTCAATATAATCAACCCTAAGTTCTCATCAAGCTTAAAATGATTGATTTTCAAGCTTGATTTAAATCAAACTCTAATCTTAAACTACTCCACTTCCTAATAACTTCAAGAACTAGCACTTTATAAATCCGGCTATAGTTCCACTGAGTATCATTTTCAAACAAACACAAGTGAAAATGCAAAGATTGAGTTGGATTTAAACTTGGTTAAATCTCTATTTTGGTCTCTTTACTTTGATAAAAACCCTATTTTTAGTCCATTTACTTCAAAATCTTCTTTTTGATTTTTAAAGTTTGAAATTAGATTCTTTTTAGTCCCTCCATTAAGTTTTACATATGTGACACGTTAAATATTAAAAATTTCAAAGTAGAAAGACAAAAAAAAAGCTAAAATGAGCTAAAATAGCCTTAATTTGGTCTTTCTACTTTGGAAGAACCCATTTTTGTTCATTATTCTCTTAAATTTCTATAATCTAACGTCAAAACTTAATGAAAGGCTTAAAAAGAGTTAGATTTCAAATTTTAAGGATAAAAAAAAGACTTTTTTAAGTAAAAAGACTAAAAAGGCACTTTTTATCAAAATAGAGGGACCAATTGAGGTTTTAACCTTTAAACCTTAGCCAGCCAAATGATCCTAAACTCAAAGAAACTTTGTTCACCTAATTCACAGCACCATTTCACCTACCACAAGCGAGAATAGACTAATGCAGTCTTTTACACTGAGGAATTCCATAATATATGCTGTCATAGAAACTTACCATTTATTCCTCTCATTATTTAGTTTCAAACCATCAGTTTGTTCCTGTATACACAAGCTACATCGCATAAACAATATAACTTTGAAAACGAACGAAATTACAAATACAGCCAGAAACAACATGTAGATCTTCCTTTTCTTCCAATAAAAAAAAAAAAAAAAGAACATATAGGTAGGTCCTTGGAGCCACTCTACAGCCCTAAAGAGGGGGCTAAAGGTTGCTGTGAATTGATCCTCCTCTTCCGGAGGCGCTCGGCTATGATGAAGGCAAGCTCGAGAGACTGTGAGGCGTTTAGCCTTGGGTCACAGTGAGTGTGGTAACGCGAACTCAAGTCATCAAATGTCACAGTTCGAGACCCACCAATGCACTCTGTCACATTTTGACCAGTCATCTCAAGATGAACTCCTCCTGGGTGACTTCCTTCTTGCTCATGAACATCAAAGAACGCTCTCACTTCCGCCTGCCAAATGACATACAAAATCATTAGATTTTTGAAACTATAAGTAATATAAATAGAGGCACACATGAAAAGAGTTCCCCCATCCAGTGGCTACTCTACCATATTATTCAAAATTCAATGGCTTCAAAAGAAACCCCTACAACAATTTGTGTTGGACCAGATCTAGAACCTCCCTTAGTGGCCCATGAATCTTACTTTTTCTTCAGTCAAATCTATTGTTGATCTATTCCATTCAATGGTAAACAAACTAACATCATCATAAGATCCATTATGGTCTAGAATTATAAAATAATGGAAAACTGCATCTCTATAATTAGTACTCAAATGCCTTATCGTTTATGTGCCAAAGAAATTTTCTGTTCAAAATATGAAGCAGTCATGATATGTTTTTATAATGGAAAATTGTGGTGGCTGCCTTCTAACATGCCTGAAGTCAAAAGTTTATGCACCATCTGGAGTCAATTGAAAGCACACCAAAAGCAATGAACAAATACATTTTGATATTGCAAAAATTTCCACCAACCCAACTTATAGATAGGGAAATCCAACCACCTACCAACTAAATAAAGACAATTTCTTCGCTAAATTATTAAACCAAGGCTTAAGTAACCTCAGTAAATGTTGTGCTGCCCAAACATATCTACCAAGTTGTCCCTTTCCCACCTAACACAATTATGTCTTCTTCAAAAACTCTTATTGCTAGTAAGACAAAATAGATCTTATTTGAAGCTGGAAAACGTGCACCACCTAGAAACCATGGACTGTTGTTGTAAATCACACTTACAGCCATAAATTATACCATTACCATGATCATATTCTTGACCGTCTGTCATCTAATAATGGACACATGAATATGCAGGGGCAACATATTTAACTGGTTGGTGCTGATAGAGTTACTAACAACTCATCGTATTAGTTCACCAGTCAAACAAACAACTTGATAGTAGATGTAGGTAAAAAGTGAGATTACATAGTCTTATACGATTTGGTATCAATCTTGACATATGCATGTTAGGGAAATCACAATATTTTACTTATTACAGCTGTCCTTTATAATTTATTATAATAATTTCTTTGGAGCATAGCCTAAGACTACCTCGTAAAAGTTATATATTCCTTCCTAAATTAGACAAAACATATTAGCCTATGCTCTGTGGAAATTCTAGGAATTCCTTAGTAGCAAGCCATTCCAAATTCTTCATGATCATTTACTCCCCTTATTTATGAATCAAACAAGTGATCATAATTAGTAAGTAAAAAGATGTTAAAGTGATCAATATCATACCCTTATGGCATCAAAGGGACGAGTTTTGAGACCGCAAGGAGCCTTGATAGTGTTTCCATGCATAGGATCACTAACCCATGTGACAATTTGCCCTGCACGACGGACTGCCCTTATTAGATGGGGAAGTTTCACTCTCATGTTCTCAGCACCCATTCTTGCAATCACTGTAATCCTCCCTGGTTTATTCTGAGGATTTAAAATTTCGATGAGCTTAACAAGCTGATTTGGATCCATCTTGTCACTAACCTGCAATGCAAGAACCATTTTCATTAGTTATCTTACTAACTCATGATCAAATTCCACAAGAACACAAATAAAAGCATCAAAATTGCAGTTTTCCCAATATGGAGTTTGGGGTTAGAATGGCCATCAACTGCCAAATATCATTTCAAATAGGAGCAATATAATGAGAAGCATAAAGTCATCTTTGGCCAATATTTCAACCAAATAAGCCTTGATGATTCATGAATATCAGGATTTTCAGGACACGTCTGCACCATGTGCTCACTAATATACCGGGGGGTTCATTTTGGACAGCACATGTTTGCCAATATAACAGGTTTAGGTTTGGATAACTATATGTTGCAAAAAAAAAAAGAAAATTTGACAGTAAAAGATTGGCCTAATTACATTGTGCTCATAAGTTTCATAAATCAAGGATTTTTAAAATGAGGTCTTATTTATATGTTAACAGCTAATATAGTGGAGTTTAATTAATGTAAAATTAGATTACCTTAATGCCAAGAGGATTTGCAACTCCTCTCAGAAACTCAACATGAGCACCATCCAGCTGCCTGGTACGTTCTCCAACCCAGAGAAAATGTGCAGAACAGTCATAGTAGAGTCCAGAAGTTGAATCTAGCCTGGTAAGTGACTGCTCATAGGGCAAGAGCAAACATTCATGTGATGTCCAGAACTCTGTCGTTGTCATGATAGGATGGTCAACGGTAAGACCAGCTGCGGCCATGAATCCAAGGGCCTCATCAACCCTATGAGCTAATTCCCGGTACCTGCCAGCGAAGGAAAGGGATGAAGAGATTAGGCAAAAGAGTTCAGATAAAACTTTCCAAGACTAGAGTCATGCATATTTTAGAGAACCAATCACAGGCGACCACGAGATGATAAATGAGTTAAGGAACTATTGTCACCTTCCAGAAAAAACCGCCAAACACGTGTCATGGTGCCCCAAGATTTTAGATTATATCATGCATCTAAGATACCATATACCAACATCTTAAAGGCAGATGATACGAATATACAAAGAAGCAAGTAATTCCAGGCCAGTTTTCTTAGATTCTCCGATCATTGATCATAAAGGGATTGAGGAAGTAACAAAAATACATCAGTGTGATTGCCTTTACTTCCTCAATGAAAGGAACATGAAAAGTTTTATGCAAGAAGGCTATTTTCGAGAATATAATTGACAACAGTAAAGAATTAAACTTCATTCTCTACTCTAAATACATTATAATCACACTAAAAAAAAGGCACGAAACATGACAGAGCAAGCGAAAATGACTAAAACCACGACTTCCTCATTTCTACAATTCCCTTAAGCCTTCACCAAAAAATTCCAAGAAAGTATTGGCAAAAAAATTACGTTCAATTGAAAGTTAACATAGCCGAGTTTGAATTGAAAACTACCTGTCTCCCTGCTCGCTATGCTCAGTGAAATCCAAATTCCACTGCGTTACCCTCTGCATAGCAGCATAACCTCCAGTAGCAAAAGCCCGCAACAGATTCAAAGTTGCAGCAGATTGACAGTAAGCTCTGATCATCCTCTGAGGATCAGGAATCCTTGACTTCTCATCAAAAGAGTCTCCATTAATATTGTCCCCCCTGTAACTCGGTAGCTTCACGCCGTTCTTCTCCTCGAAAGGCTCCGACCTTGGCTTCGCAAACTGCCCAGCCATCCTCCCCACCTAAATTTAGAACAAAAGGAAAATCAGAAAAAGAAAAGGCTATCCAGTGACTTTAAAACTAACATGCAACGATTGTTAGATAAAGTTCTGACCTTGACGACAGGCATTTGACCGCCGAACATCAAGACGGCACCCATCTGAAGGACGATCCGGAAGGTATCCCGAATGTTATTGGCGTTGAATTCCTTGAAGCTCTCCGCACAATCCCCGCCTTGCAAAAGAAACGCTTTCCCCACAGCAGCCTCAGCCAGGCGCTCCTCGAGGCTCCGGGCTTCTCCAGCGAACACAATCGGAGGGAAAGCCTCGAGAGTCTTCAGCACCGACTCGAGGTCAGCCTGATCCGGGTACTCCGGGAGCTGCAATGCCGTCTTAGACTTCCAGCCATCAAGTGTCCATTTCCCAGGCGCCACATTTTGCGACGGAGCAGTAACGGCAGCAGATTTAGTCGCGAGCGGAGGCGCTGGTTGCTGCTTCGGCGACTTATCTGCTGAAATCGGGTTCTTGGGGGTGTCGGCGGAGTGGACGGCGGAGACACGGAGGACGGACGGCGACTTGCGGTTGGTGAGAAAGGATTGTGGGTAGGTTTGAAGGAGAGATTTGGTGGGAATGAGGGAGGAGTTGGTGAGAGCCATTGTAAAGGCGTTTTTGTTTTTTTTTTTTTAATTTTCCTTTTCTGTAACAGGAGAGGAAAGGTGTTAGATTTTCCTACTTCCTGAGGAGGTTGGAGAGAGGCGGACAGTTTTATAGAGCCAGGGTTCGTTGATGGTGTTTTGGGTGGTGGCGTGACCTGTGTCTGGTGGGACTGGTGGTAGTTGGGATGGAGGGCGTTTTGGAAATTTAATTACAGGTTGAGGGTATTTCGGGAACAAGGGTTCGATATTTGTCACCGTTCTTCAACAACCAATATCCGGTGCCGGTCAGGAAGACATACCCTTTTTCCGGTGACTTTGAAAATGAGAAATTGTTTTATAAAGTGGATTATACATTAAAAACTTATAAATTTATTAAATATTTTTAATAAAATAATATTAAAATAATTTTTAAGGTATTTTAAGATATTGTTAAACATAAATCCCATTTAAAATCTCATTATAAATTTATATTAAAAATAAAACTGAATTTTTAATTTATAAATTATTTAATTAAATTTATTTACTTAATATCAATATTAAAATTAGTGTTAATTTTTAAATTTTTTATATTCATTTATAAAAAGATATTTAAATTGTGCCTAAGAACATATTATAAAAAAATCCTTTGAAAAATATAAGAGACATGTCAAGGTTTTTTTATAAAAGAAAGTTTAGATGGCACAATTAGAAGAAACATTTGGTGAAATAATTTTAAAATAATTTTTTAAGTTCTAATAAGTAAGGTGAAAAAATCTTGAGTTAGTAATTATTCACCTTACTTCTTAGAACTTAAAAATTTATTTTAAAATTATTTCATTTCAATAAAAAAACCACAAGAAAAGACAAAAGTAATCTAATTCATGCTTTAAAAATTAAGTATTTTAATTTTTTTTAATAAGAGTTAATTGAAATGACAAAATTTTAGAATAATTTTCTTCTTAATTTTTACAAAGTAAAGTTGATAGGCACTTTTCCTATATAATATAATTAAATAAGTAAATATAGATAATATCATGTGTGATCCTTAGATAAAAAATAAATCAATGTCTTACCATATATAATTATTGCATGCTTATCTTGTGGGTCAAAAAAGATATCGAGGGTTTTTTATAAAGCTTAAAAAATAATTATTTTAAAAGTAAATTTTTTTTATAAATTTAATATTTTGTTAAAAGAAAACTCAAAAATTACTTCTATACATAAGCAAGGTTGGAAAAAAGTTAGATACCTAACTTTCTCAAAATTTACTTAAAAGATATTTTATAAGTTAATTTTTAAATTTATGAGAGGAAAATTTATTTTATAAATAAGAGCCTTATAAAACTTTTTCCAAACACCCTAAAGATTAAGAGTTTTCAAAATATATATAATATATGAGAAAAATATATATCAATTTTGACTTTTAAAAATAATTAAAATTTTAATTTTAAATTATGTTATTTTATTTAATTAAAACTCAATTCAAAATTTAAAAAATTATCTTTTAAATATTAATATATTAGAATATA